CTACAGACACAGATTTTTTTTCCAGATTTCTACTTTCTGGCCTGACTGTGGTGACTCTCCTATGTTCCACTTTTTCCCCTAACAATACATATGAAATCAACAGGGACCTTACAGGCCTTTCTTATAAGGTGTTAAAGGAAAAACAGACTTAGAAAAAACTCAATTTTTTTTTAAAGCATCACAATTTTAATTACAACAAAACAAAATTGTGGCTATGTCTGAATCTGACCATTGTAGTAGTGGATTCCTACTGTTCAAGATAGACACAACTTTCAAGGTTTGGGAAGTTCCTCCTCATGTTAATTAATCAATTCCTATTCTCTATGAACAATGGGTTTCCCCGCTTTGGTTTCAGATCATCCTGCATCTGCTCTGCAACCACCTCTATGTTCTCCTGGGGTCTAAGCAGGGTCCTAGTGTAGAAATGAAATTTCTTATCTAGGCCACAAAAGGTTATTCCACATCTCCAAAACTGACCTTGTAGATGCTTCCTCTTCTTGGCTCTCAGACTCAGAAATTTTATTCCCTCCATTACCATTTTTGTTCCTGGTTCAAACACAGGTCCTACAACTCTCCCTAATTTATCCCAGTTAATCTGTTCTAATTGTTCTATGTTATCACTCTTACTAGCCAATTTCTTAAAGCTTGTGTCATTACATCAATATATCAAGGACCTGTGACTAGTGCATAAAAATTAACAATACTTAGGATGTCGATGGTAATAACTATTCATTTATATAAGGCTTATAGTTTACAAAACAGGTATTTATTTCTCCCATGAGGTATGCTCTTCCTGTTGTTAGTTTTAAGTAGTTATCGAGGCAATGTCTCCTAAATATCCATATAATGTAGCTGGTGTCCAGATGCCATTTTGTTTCTTTACTATCATGTGGTCTACTACTTTTAGTCCTACCACTTGGTTTCTGCCTTCTACATTCATGTGGAGAATCACAAGATCATAGACTTAGCAGACAGGTAAAGGACCTCGGAGGTCAGCTAGTAAAACCTCCTCATTTCACAGATAAGGAATCTGAGGCCCATGGAGGCTGAATAATTTGCCCAAGGACACATAAGTGACAAAGCCAGAATTTGAATCAATGTCCTCTGACTCCAATCTAGCACCCTTTCCACCGAACTTTGCTGCAATTACTCTACTGTCTATTTTCTTTTAAAAAAAATTTTTTTTAAATTACAAATCTATTTTCTCTCCTCCAATTCCCCAACCCATTTAAAAAAAAACACCAAATTCTTTGTTACAAATGTGCATGGCCAAGAAAAATAAAGTCTCATTCTATATCCTGAAAACATCATTTCTCTGTGAGGAAATGGGTAACATGTTTTATCGGTGATCTTCTGGAATTATAGATGGTCATTATGTCAATGAGAGTACTTACAGCTTTCAAAATTGTCTTTACAGTATTGTCATTATTGTATAAACTATTTTCCTGGTTCTGCTCATTTCATCCTTTATCAGTTTATGGAAATCCTCAAATTTGCCCTTCCCTCATCCCAGCTCTGAACACACACAAATACTTAGTAAATGCCTCAGGATTGAATTTTTTGGTTAGGTCATTACGATAGCTTTGATTACTATCCTTGTAAATTCTCATCAAAACACAAAAATAAATATAATGACAATGAGAAAGACTCACAGTTGAACTAGGGAAATAAGGTGACTAGTTCTTATACTATTTGATACTTACAACAGTATCAACTACACAGGGATAGTCTAACAATTCGGACTAGGCATCAAGAGAGAAGTGGGAGTATATTTACATTGGCCTGTATGCTCAGATCCATGGAAAACTCCTATGATAACAAGGTAATAGATTATCAATGCAGCAGATCACAAATGTAATGGCCAATCCCAGTTAGTCACTGGTAATGTGTCTTTACAATAATACTGGAAGGGGGGCAGCTAGGTGGTGCAGTGGATACAGCACTGGCCCTCAGTTCAAATCCGTCCTCAGACCAAACACTTAACACTAGCTGTGTGACCCTGGGCAAGTCACTTAACCCCAATTGCCTTAATTTAAAAAACAAACAAACAAACAATTACACTGGAAGAAATATGTATTGTCTTTTCTATGAATAGCTAAAAATATTTAACTGTTAATAAGATTTAGTAAAATATTTGTATTTTGCAAGAATGAAAGGTCAGTTCTGGGGTAAAGCATCATTATAATGGAGAGCCCTCACTAAGGGACTTAAGGGGGAATTAAGGTGGGGGTTAATTAGACTTTTAGGTTTAATGCAAACAAAGCAAAATGCATACATTTTGACATAGTATGCTTGTTTTTGAAAAAAGATATTTCTCTCATGCATTTTAATAAAGTATGCTAATCATTGTATATGGGATACAAATAACAACTTTGAACTCATACTCAACAAAAAAAAAGCAGAATCCCTTTAGAAATTTAAAGCAAAGGAAAATATTGTGGTTGATTTAAAACTTCTCATTTAAAAACATAACCTTCCTGTTGGTAACAAATATATATCAGAGTTTCTCAGGCAGCCCACTGTTCCTCAGTTCTTGACTTAGAAAGTTTTAAGTAGCCCTTATTATACCCAGTTATTCTTTTCCTGGCTTTGTGAATCAGGCCTTGCTTTGCTATGTACTTCAAATATAGGAAATTTAGATAAATGATCCTGGTTATACGAAAAAGAATAAAGTGTGTCTGTATGGAAGGGAGAAACAACACGTGGTTAAAATAACTTTTTAAAAAATTTAATCTGAAAATTAACTGTAAATCTATGTAGATGTATTTACACTAAATACAACTATGCATGCTTTTGAGTGTTTATGTCATGGTTAATGCCAAAAGGCTAATTATAAATAATGCACAATGACTTATTCATTTTGTTGTCTTCTTCGGGTACTTCTGGATGTATCAAGAGGATAACAGAACAAGTATCAAGAGGGTAATTGAAAAGATAAGGATAATTTATCACATCATCAAAGACCACTTGGATGTTAACAATCTTACCCCTTAATAAAGAAGTCCTCAATTACAGCTTTTTCATTAATATCAACCAACACAAGCACAATCCATTAATTTATTAAGCACAAGTGAATATCTGAAAGTTCACGAGCACATATGTTTTCTTGTTAGCCTTCATAAGTATTTCAAATACTTAGATCTGAGGCCAGTAAAAATTTTCATTGCATCTCATAGATAGTTTAAGAAAGTCAAGATGCAAACTTATGAGGGCAGTTAAATTCCTCACCGCCCAAATTTCACATGATTTTACCCTGAAATATCAGTTCTCAAAACTTTAAATCACTGAGTAACCCTCTTCCAGCAAAGTAGTCAAGATCAGCTAGCTATCTGGAGCAACATGTTGGAAGGAAGGGGTCAATCCAGAAAAATTACACATAGTTGAGAAGGTAAGGAGGAGGAAAAAAGAAGGAAAGGCAAAGGCAATTAGAAGAGTCTCAAGAGATATAATGGCCACTTAAAAAGAAAGGTGGAAGGGAACAGAAAGCAAGATGCATATAACTTGCCAAGTGGGAAAGTCAGGCCAAAGAAGGTACACTGAAGTCCAGTTTATGCATAAAGGAAGAGCAATGTATATAAATCAGCCTTTATGATTCCTGAGGGATTACAACTTCCAGTTTGAGAAACTGTCTAAATTCTTATGGCACAGCTGATTAATGTTATGACAGGATCTGGAATTACATAGCAAGACATAGAACTTGCCTTATAAAAGATCCATAAAGAAATTACCATATTTGCTACTGATTACCTGAAACCTTTACCTTTAAATTGGCTAAATGTAGACTTACAACTCATTGGAACTGGAATGAAGAAAGGCAATCCCCAAGGTAGCAAGAATGAAGGCTGTGTAGATGTCCTCTATGTTTTTTTTAACCTGAACTCTCCACAAGTGCTCAATAGCTAAAAACACCCACTAATCCCCAAGAATAAATAAGAGACAGAGTAGCCAGCAGAGCTGATTAAGGCCAGGACCATGTGGAATGGAGTAAGATACTTCTTTTTCCACTTGTTGCCTGGTATCTGGCAGGTTATCTTTGGTTTCTTCACTTCCTTTCTCATTCCTCTTCTAGGCATAATTTTTTTCCTACTTCTCCTTACTCTATGATAAAAAGAAATAAAAATAGCTAAATACGGAAGTATTATGTATATGGCTAATTTGGGGCGTATTTTTACATCTGAAAAATATTTTTTACTACATCTGTCTGCATTTGCATTGTCCCATTTTTAGAATAAGTTCAAAGAGAGGGAGAAGCATGCATTTGATTTAATTCCATGTAACATCTAGCATACACATAAGGTTTATCATTATTTCAATTTTTCTTCTTTTGTTCTGGCTTTCCCAGAGCCCAGATTTTTCCAAATCCTTTCAATTCCAATAACCTCATGACAGCATGTCCAGTCCTATTTCTTGAAGCTGTTTCAGCCATATCTTGCAGTTCTAATTCCCAAAAGAGAAATAGTTTTTAAGAAAGAAAACTGCAAGATAAGAATTTGGTGGGTGAGTTTGAGTATTAATTTTTCTAAAAACTTTATAAAAATTCAACTTTAGCCTTACTAATCTCAATCCTTCAAATGTGAAACAATTAATAGACAGAGAGAGCATAAAAATAAGCAGTAGAATATTAAAATGAGGGTGAGGAAAGAAAAGGGAACATTATTGCTCTCTTCCCTCAACCATATATCATTAGAGATAGAGGGATTACTTAAGTCAATGTATTTTAGCTCTTTTACTTAATCATGATCAAACAGGTAAATTCTTTTTCCCCTTCTCAAGTAATTAGTACAAAGACTTAAAATGTGTATTTGAGGATATGTTCATATTATGCTATGAATCATAGGCACAAAAAATGTTTATGATTCTCAAGTAAGAACACTGTACAAAGTAGCTATAAGAAAACATCTAAGCAAAGTTATAGACTCTATTTAAAATGGCTCCCTGGGATTCATGCATATGAAAAGATTTAAATATACTATGTTCAAATTTGATAGAGTTTCTCTTACCCAACTTTGGAAATACTATTAAGTATTCTGCATTGCACTGAGGACATGCCACTCGTGCTGTACTATTTCCTCTTTGTTTTTCATCTACCCAGCGTTGTAGACAAGCTTGGTGAACCCATTTCGTAGATCCTCTGCACCTGCATGGTCTCACCCATTCAGCTGTTCGATCATCTTCATCAGTAGCAAAACATACCCAGCAACTTCTAGAAATTAAAATAAAATAAAACCCCATACATTAGAACATTAGCAAGAATGGTAAGAAAACACTAAAGATTCTTTATCCTGAAAAAATTTTTAACAGGTATATACAATATGATGAATATGGATTTAAGAAATGATGAATAAACAACATAATGAAACAAAATTTATGTTGCCTTAGAGAATCAATTCAATTCAAACATTTAATATGCATTTACTATGCAAAAGGCCCTATGTTAGTCACTGGGTAGTTACAAAGATAAAAAAAATATCATGACAACGCAGTCCTTGCTCTTAAGAAGTTTATGATTTAATTGGAGACGAAGATAACATATACAAACAAAAGAGTAATAATAACAACAATTATTACCTTTATCCACCTTACATTTAAATAGAAGCTTTATGGTATATGAAATTCTTGACAAAACCCTGTAATTTTAAGTATTATCCCCATTTTACAAATGAGGACACCCGGGGGGTTCAGAGAGGTTAAATGATTTATCAATAGGGTCATAGCTAAAGGTACAGCTGAAATCTGAACCTAGGTTTACTAACTTCATGTCAAGCATTCATTTCATTATACCAGCCTGCATGATCATTTTTCATTTTTTTTAACAGTGAAAACTTTCAGCACCCTTCCCCCAGCACTTATCCTTTAAGTTTTTAAATTAAATTTCATTTTTTTTTAATCAGTAAAAATTTGTCTTCTCACTCTCAAACTGGAAAGAAAATCAAAACCTGTTACAAAACAAATGTCCACACTGGCCATCTCCAAAAACCCCCAAATCAAATCAAACAAAAAACCCCACTAACAATGTCTCATTCTGCACTCTTGAGTCTTTCACTTCTTCAGAAGTGGGTATAACATGTTCCACCATTAGTCCTCTGGAATCATAGTTAGTCATATGCTGATCAGAGTTTCTAAGACTTTCAAAGTTCTTTCTTTGCCTTTACAATACTGTTGTCATTGTATATAAACTGTTTTCCTGGTTCTACACTTCACTCTGCATCAGTTCACACAACTCTTTCTAATTATTTGTTCAACACAATAGTATTGCATTACATTTATATACCATAAAGTGTTCAGATTTCTCAACTGCTGGGCATTTCTCCAGAGTTTTCAATTCTTTGCCACTGCAAAAAGAGCGTCTTTTTATGTTTCTCCCAACTCCTGTGTTTTTGTGTCAAAGATTCTATGCAACTATGTTTTCACCAGGAATGTTCACAAGCCTCCTATTTTATTAAAGGTTTGTTTTTTCCCTATAGGATTATATTCAGTTTTGCTAGGTTATTCTTGGTTATAAGCCTATCTCCTCTGCCTTTTGGAATATTGTATTCCAAGAGCTCTACTCCTTTATGGTGGTAGAAGCTACATCCTCTGTGATCCTAACTGTGGTTCCTCATTATTTGAATTCTTTCTGGCTGCTTGCAGCATTTTTTTCTTTGACCTGGAACCTCTGGATTATGGCTATATGGCTATATATTCTTGGCAGTTTTCATTTTGGGGTTTCTTTCAGGAGGTGACCCATGGATTATTTCTATTTTTACTTTGCCTTATGGTTCTAAGAGATTCGGGCAATTTTGATCAATTCTTGAAATATTTTGTTTAGGCTCTTAATATCTCTACTTGATCTGTTTTTCAGGACAATTGTTTTGGCTATGAGATACTTCACATTTTCTTCTATTTTTTTTTAGTCTTTTCACTTTGTTTTATTATTTATAGAATACCCAGATCTGGAAGTACTTTAAGTCTGAGCTACTTACACAAGCTGTCTACAAAATACAGTGAGGTATCAAGTGAATCCTTAGAGAAAATGGCTCATTTACAATAATGCTTGAGATATGGTAAATTCTCAATTACTGTGTTAGTTATCATGTTTTTAAGGTTTGTCCTTGTTGGTTTCTCCTCTTCTATTAATAACTTTGTAACCAACTCCTTAATTGGTTAAGATTATTAGAGCATGAAAGGAAAATGCAAAAGGTATATAAATTTAAGCCAATTTCTACTTAGTTGTCAAAAGATTTAACTACAGAAAAGGTTTATGTTTATGATGAACACACTTCACACAGAAATTAAGAATTTCTATGCTGGAAGGGACCTAAGGAAATCATTATATCCAATTCCATTCCTTTTTAGATAAGGAAAGTAAGGTCTGAGCAAGTTAAGGGACTTGCCCAAAGTCATACAGTGACATAATTGGGACTGGAATCCAGGTCTTATACTCCCCTGTCTGGTGCATTGATGAAAAAAAAATTACACAACTGAAAAAGTGTTCATGAAAAAAATGGAAAGCATGGTTATTTGTAAATACTTAATTTAATAGGCATCTTTTAATCTTGACATGATTGTTTTGAGCATTCCTTATATTATGTCACAATATCTTAAAAACATATTTCTAGTTGATTACATATTACCAAGTTCTACTTCAATGAGAAAATAGACCAGCAGACCTGAAATAAATGGAGCAAAAAAATAATATCTTGATAAGGAAGTAAATAAATTGGCTGAAATGAGCTTAGAAAAAACCAGTAACTGATTAACATTTTATTATTATTTGAGCTTTTCAAGCAGTCTGACTTGTCTCTACATTCTTCTGAACTTCCCTTCTGTTGTTTTTTTTTGTCCTCCAAATTTGCCAGTAAAATTTTTTTCTTTTTCTGGCAACACTATTCCTAGTCCCTTTCCCCTCCAAATCTTCTCCCTCATTAAAAATAAAATAATAGTTATTATTATTGCTATAACTAGCTTATATGTAGCACTTCCTATGTGCCAAGCACTGGGCTAAACACTTTATAAATATTATCTCATCTGATTCTCATGACAACTCTGTGAGGTAGATGCTATTATTATTCCCATTTTACAGATGAACAAACTGAGGCACAGAAAAGTTGTGACTTGCCCAGAATCACAAGTTGGACTTGAACTTAAGGTCTTTCTGACTCCAGGCTCAGCTCTTTATCCACTGCACAATCTAGCTACCTCTAACTAAACCATTTTTTCTTACATATGCCCAGAAAGGGAAGTATCTGATTAATACCCCTCCTGCTTATTGCTACGATCTTTTGTCCCCATAGGATCTACCAAATTCTTCCTCTCCCACCTTTGTAAACAAATTGAAGGTATGACCTTTGGATAGATTTTTTCAGGTGTATTAAGACATAATCTCAATTTGTATTCAATAAAACTCAGGTTTTTAACTTTGGTGTTTTTCTTCTTCAGATTAATTCTGCAACTTATCTATGTGAGAAAAATGACTGATGACCTGGTCATTTTATTTATCAAAGTTAAATAGATAATTGTAAGATCTTTAAGGTTTTAATTATGCCTTACAGTGTTTTGCACATGAGTACTCAACTAAACAAATATTGAATACTAGACAATCTTGTTTCTAATGGTTGGACTACAATGAATACCAAAAATGTTAAAATTCATAAATTTAGATTTTTGGAGTAAAAGTCATTAGAAATGAAATGAAAACGGGTGGGGGGAAGAGATTAATAGAGGAATTTAAAAAGAAAAAAGTCTTCCTTTCACTGAAAATTCAATCATCTTTGCTCGGACACCTTGATGGTCATCTATTAACTCAGCACCCTCTATCTCTCTACCTTAATTTCATATTTACTGGAATGTTCTCTTTTCTCATCTATATTTTCTAGAAGCCCTTAGCCTTTTAGAAGGCTAAGTTCAAGAGCTACTTCCTTCAAGAAGCTTTTTAGGATTTCTTCAGTTGCTAGTGAACCACTCTTCTCCCCTCTGTCCCCACTTCATTACTTCAGATTTAATTTGTATCTATCTGCCTTGTATTTACTTATCCATGAATGTGGTAAGTCCCCCAAAAAGAATATAAGCTCTTTGAGAGCAGAGACTAGATCACTTTTGCATCTGTATTTCCAGTGCCTAGCTACTGTCTGGTACATAGCAAGAAGAGAATGAACAACAGTGTTTCACACTGCAAAGATGTGAAGAATCATTAACTTTCAGTACAGTCATTCAACTAGTTACAAATCACTTACCTGTTACCATCTCATCTTTTCCAAAAGATCAGCATGAGCTACTATGCTTTGCTACATATACTACAGTTTTTCCTGATATACCAATCAAGTAAATCTGTCAGAAAATTAAGATGATTCTGGCAAGACCTTTTCCTGAGCTACCAATTTAGTAAACCTGTCAAAAAGAAAATAAGGTTATTCTGGCATGACCTATTCATTGAGAGTACTAGAAAAATACACCATAAAGCGCCACAAATACAAATATTAACAAAAAGACAGCCCCTACATTCAAGGAACTTACATTCCAGTGGGAAGAACACTACATAAATGGACCTGAAAAGGAAAGTGGGGAGTGGGGGAGAGAGGGGAGAGAAAATACTCATATAGGCAAGTCTCAAGAGTGAGAAGCAGAGCCTGGAGTGGAATAAAGTTATGAATGAGCACGACTGGTTTGGGCAACTCCTCCGAAGTGGAGGTTCTGGAAGGAATTTATCAGTCGGGGAGGAGGCTGCAGAACTTCCATGGCGAGAAGACCACAGAGACAGAGAATTTCCTCTAATTTCCTTTTTAGGTATTCACTAACCATCCCTTTGGAAACATGTTCTGGAATCTTGTCCAGAAATGAACTCAAACTCACTTATTTTATAGGGTTGCAGACTCTATTTCCTTCCCTTTTCTGGAAATCTGAATATCTGTTCTTATCCAGTACTGGGGCACATCTCTGTTATACCATCATTTTTCAAAGAGCAGTGACAATGGTTCAGCAGTCAATCTTCCAGTTCTTCAGTATTCTGGGATCTAGCTCATATGAAATAGGTGATTAGACCTCATTCAAGGGCAGCTACATTCTTTCACTACTACATCTCTTATTATGGTTGGCTATGAATCCATTAATAATTTAATTTTTATCTTTTATAATTCAAAGATCATCTTCCTCAAGTAAGTTGAGCAGTTCTGCATTCTCTTTATTGTCTACCATCATTCCATTCAAGTAGAAGTTTCTATCTCTTCT